ATTGTCTAGTCACAAACTTTTAAGCAAAGAAATACAAAAATTACACCTTAAAGATATTTTTTTCTGATTATCTATTGAGAGCAACCATCTTTAAGTGCTCTACTGCCAGTCACCACCAGCTAGTGTTGTCTTCATTCTTTTTTTTCATGGTAGAGTGGCTCAGTATTGCCAATACTAATGAGAAGTTTTCATTTCTGCTGCAGTCATTGTACAATCAGATTACCATTTATTCAGGTAATTACAGAATTCTCTTAATGAAAAAAATCCATTTCCTATGTGCCTTTGTCCAGAAAGAAAATTGTGAAAAGATAAAATTATGAAGTTGACAGAACAAAATGGAAAATATTACTCAATAAAATTAATGTCAAAAATAAACAGATTTTTTTTTTTTTTTAAAACATTTTGATCAACTTAGTTGATTTTGTAAGTGACTAACTGGAGTTGTTGCAATAAACATGTCTAAGGATGCACTAGTAAATCCTTAATTTATCATACATTTATAACAACATAAAAGCTGATCAAAGAAATCTCACTTTCCGTACAGTGTTAGACATTGCATATTATTTAGTTGTATAAACAAGTTAATTTTTAACAAATGAAGTAAATATGTAGAAGTTTTTATCAAAGATCTTTCATTTTTAAAACTTTTTGTAAAATACATCTATTGGATGCTTTAGTACTCATCATCAGTGATGTTTCTAGCCAAGGTTCATTAGGGGTTTTTCAACATCATACCCTCTTCTCCACAGTGACCCAGCCGATACTTTGTGTACCTTCCGTTAGCTACAATTTTTCCATCTTCCCAACACCCACACACAGCGACTCCTCTTGGCAATTACTAAGTGTTCACTGTTAAAAATTAGATTTTACTTGTTTTATACTTGTAGCAAACCAAACAGATGGTAGGCAATTACATTGAAAAGCAGTATCTTACTTTCAACTAAACATTTTGTTTAGCCAAGAAAAAAAAAAAAAAAAAAAGAACAGTAAATAAGAGCACATGTAAATGCATGCTTTCCAAACGAGAAACAAATGCTTGGAAGTAATGAATAGGTGAGTGTGGATGAAATAATCAGAGAAAAAACCCCCAAAAGATACCATATGTTTTAGAGGAAAAAATAACTTAATAGAAAGACTATAAATTTTGATAAAGTAAACAGTGCTGTGTATTACACACACACACGTGTGTGTATGCATGGTTAAAATGTTAGCATTCCAAACTTCTTGATAATATCAGCTTGGAGAATTGATTCCAGCATATGGCACTATTGGGAAGTGCCAGAAAATCATGCCATGGATAAACTACAAGGTAGAGACAAAACTGTTGAGAAGCTGCCAATATTTGTTCTAGCACAAAGTCACAGGTCATCTTGTCCAAGGTTTTCATTGTATTGGCCTTTTTCAATTACTGATCATGCCAAATTATGTGCTTTCTCACAAACTATAACTAACATATGCTCAGCATAGCCAACCTGTGATTTATACTGCAACTATGTTGAAAAAAAAAAACACAAATCTGCTTGAGCAACAGGCATCTGCAACAGAAATTAGGTAGCCATCCTAGCAGATAAATATACTTAGAAATTATCAAGCAGTCACTATATATTTAAACAAGTTTTTTTTGGTTTTTTTTTAAGTTCAACCATCAAAGTCTATCTACATTTTTATGTGGAAGAAAAAAATTGTATATTTCAATCAAAATTGTGAATAAATTGTCGAAGTTCATGCTTTCTGTTTTTGTTCAAGTACTTTCTACTATCTCAGCCATTATCAAGCACTGAATGTTGTCAGTATGGCAGACATAATTATGTTGACTATATCCTGGCATTTTTGGAGATCACAAGAAGACTGCACATGAGAAAAATGTATCAAAGTAATTATTATTATATGCATGTTAAATATTTTATACACACTTTAAAAATGACATCATTTTACTTAATGCAGGTTACTTCTTTTGTATAATAATAGCTTCATGTATTTTGAATCTTCCCTTGCAGTGGGTTCTATCATCTAATATTTACCTTGTGTTAATAGTTGTATTTTGATTGTGATATGATCAATATGTGCACAAATTGCACTAAGTTTCAACAAGTGAAAAATCAACCTATGAATGAGTGTGATATTGGAAATAGAATCTCTCAAAGGACATGAGAAATCATAAAACACTGTTTTTCTATTGAGGGATTTTTGAAGACCTAAGTTATTGGTAATAATTAAGTTAAAGGTTTTAAACTTTCTTCAGTGTAAATGATAATAAATCTAAGGTGTGTATATATATATATATATATATATATATATATATATATATATATATATATATATACACACACATACACACACACTTATAGGGACTGTTAGATATTGAAAATTCTTAGAAATTTTTTTTTTGGGGCCTACTAAATTCAAAAAACACCATCTTAGATTTCTGCATGTATCAAGATTTTTGTATCACTTAAAAAATACTGGTACATATTTACATAGGTACCTCCACGGAATCGCTAAAAAATGAGCATAGCTTGATGAAAAAGACACCAACCTTGCCGAAAACTAAATTTTATTGTCTAAATGCTTATGTTATTAAGAGGAAAGACCAAAGTTTTTTTTTTATTTTTTAAAAATTTTCCTTCTTTTTAGAACATTCTAAATTTTGATTAAAAAAACCTTTTTTCTATTTGTATCAGCGGAACTAGTAAATAACATAGACAATTTTTAGCATGTTTTTTTGGTATGACACACATTAATTTGAAAAATCGTGCAAAAATAGAAATAATTATCGGATGTTAATGAAACTTTCAGGAACTATTCACAGATGATCTAAATTATTATAAATATGTTTTTTTTATGAAAGTCATGGTAGAAATATTTTTTAAAAATATTTATTACCCCCCATAACTAATTTTATGAAAATGCTTGAAATTCATCGCATCGGTTTTAGTGATTACAATAATTAAAAGCACAGGGCTTTGAGGAATGCAAATCATGTTTTTTTTTTTTTTTAATTGATATCAGTACCTGAAAATCAGCTCTGAATTGTAACATACAAAACTCAATAAAACAAATATATTATTTAATTTCAAATGCTTTTATTTGCTTTTAGTTGTTTTTTTTTATGAATATGGACAATATTTTCTGAAAGCAAAAAATTTTTTTCGATGAAAAATGAATTTTTAATACAATTATTTGTTATTTCATTAATTATAATAGATTTTACATTTAAATTGTAAAAATATTATAAAATTAGTTAAAAAAGCCGATCGGCTTTCATAAGTGTCCTTGTGAGATAGATCTTTTTTTTAGCGTTGTAAATTGTATCATTTTGACTAATCAGAAGATCCCCAGTAATTAAGAAATGTAATTTTGTGCTTATAATCGAGCTGTAATTATAAAATACAGAAGACCAACCAGAATATAATTAAGTTGCGTTATTTGAGTTAAGCATTGTTCTCCGCTGTTAAGGCCTTTACTTTTATGAAACACGTGTGGAGAAGTTAATTTGATTTTTCAATTTCAACTGAGAAGGGTACCTACAAGTATCAGTATCATCTTATGAAATTTATATGATCTTATTTTTTATATTAATCTCAGTTACGACATTTTTCCATAAATGAAAAATCAAAATTAATAATAAAATGAATGCAAATACAAATAACAGTAGAATGTAATAAATGTATATAAAATTATAGTATTTTATGTACAATTCTGATAAAATTTCATAAGAAAGGTACCTATAAATTAATTAGATACCTTTCTTAAGAAATATGAAATTTAATGTCACTCTTAACAGTTTTATTTTAATTTCTTTAGAATATATTTCCCATAAAGCATCATAAACGTAAAGGTGAAAGCTAAGTACAAAAAAAAAAAAATTAGACCGCTGAAAGTTTTCGTTAAAAATAACGGGGTAAATAATTTGTTCACGTAAATGTAAATTATTTCACTTTTCTCCTTCGGTAGAACAAATTAGCCTCATGGAATTCGTAAATATATCATTCATCATATGTCAAGAGACGCGAAAGTTTATGACCTGCTTTGTTTTATTTTCAAATTACATCTTTTTGGCACAAAAGCTAAGTTAAGTTTCGTTCAAAATATTTTAAATAAACATTATAATTTCTGATTTTCTTAAAATAAGTTTTAAAAAAATGATAATTGATATTTAAAAAAATTTCAAAGTCAGATTTCCAGTTTTTTTTTTTTTAAATGGAAAAAAATGGTCAATTTTGCTGACTCAAAAAAAAACTAGATTTTTAACGAAAATTTCGGACGTGCTAGGAACAACTAAAAAATGGAAAAAAATACCCCAAAAATACTTTCCTCTTAATAATAACAAACATTTAGACGATAAAATTTTGTTTTCGTCAAGTTTGGCGTCTTTTTCATCATGCTATGCTCTTTTTTTAGCGATCTCGTGGAGGTACCTATATTTACAATACTTACATTTGCAGCACCCTGAAAAAACCCATTGGCACAGCATTATTCTATATTAGTCTCAAGCTTAAAAGTGAACTTTTAGAAAAAAAAATATTTCAATTAACAATGAAAGTGTAATTATAAACTTATGCTATTAATATAAATTAATCTTAAATTTGTAAATATTTTCTCTATGTAAACTTGCAACAGTTTCAAATTATTAGACAGCTCAATAAAAATACTATTGTATACCTCTAATAAACAATACTCATTACCAATTAAATGTAAATACCGTTATTATTCCACCAGGTTGTATATTTTAGTAAATCCATACATCTCAAATAATTTACTAAATAACTAATTGACAAACAGATTATATCAATTGTATAACTCTTATGGAACACTTGATAAGAGTGTTAGCAGATTAAGATAGCCACCCTTCAAAACTGATATAAAAGTTCTGTTTGTAAATTGTACACAAAACCAAATTTAATGATAGCACTGAAAAAGGAGAGTAAATTTATAAGATGACAACTTCAATGCTAATTATTCATAAAGTTGAGAAAAGCAAATATTAAAGCCAAATTTACCTGGGTAAATCTGCGTACAAGGCATGTCTTGCCAACTCCAGCATTGCCAATCAAAACTACTTTGAAGAGGTATTTGTAATCTTCCATGGAGATATCTGCGAATGGACAATGATAAAACAAAGATAAATATAGACAAAAATAGAAGTATATTATAGCATATTTAAAAAAACCAAAAAAAAACCATAAAGTGAAAAGCTTTTAAACAGTTATTTTAAGAGAAAAATTTAAATGAATAGTCAAGTATTAAAGGAAAAATATTTTAAATTCACTGTAATCCATAAGAAAATCTATTATGCACAAAAAATAGTGAAATCCTAGAGACTAAACGCCCACACTGTCAGATGATATTTCTACCAATTTAAATAGGTATGCAATGATGTTTTGTTTGTATTTCCTATACAAAGAAAAATAGAATCAAATTGAAATCTATAAGCAGGATATTGCAGGTTCAACTTTTTATAGGACATCTTGTAATTTTAGTTTAAAAATCAAAACAGAAAAAAAAAAAAGATTAATATTGGAGGAGTAGAGAAATAGCAACAATTTTCTGAGAAAATCAAAGAATAAATTTTATATATATATATATATATATATATAGTGTGTGAGACTCTCAAACTAAAATAATGATCAAGTGGTATTTTATAGAATGTATTCATCAGGTTCTGAAATCTGTGAATGACCAGTTTTCAGTTAGCTGCTAGAATTCAGTCATTTTTGATCAAGTGAAAGTTTAATATATAGCAGCATTGAGTGGAAAAAGTAGCTAATTGATTTGCAATACAAACAAGACTATGTAAAAGCCCCATAAAGACCATAATATAACCAGATTTAATCCTCCATTTAACTATAAAAGATAAAATTTTGGAAGGTCTTCAATCCTGTAAACAGGATAAGATATTTAGCAGAAACTCCCTTAAAGCCAGTTATTGTTGCATGGATAATATACTTTAGTTAGTAAAGTACAATAAGATATTGAAAGCTGGTGATGTTACTTATAATTGCAATTCTAACATTTCCTATAACTGACCGGATATAGCATACACTGGAGGCACCAAGAGATACAGGAAGCAAATATTTTCAGATCACATACAGGAAGTGGAGAATGTGAAAATTGTATAACATTGTACAGCTATATAATAGAACACAATGCCTGAGATTAGGAAAATAATTTGTAAAAGAGGTGTCTGTTTTCATGGAAGTGTTAAGATATAATTTGTGTGTGGAAAAGAAATGAAATTTACATTCTCTGGTCAGAGAAGAGTACTGAATGAAGATCAGAACAAAAGTGGTCTCTAAATGTAAACATGACAATAACTTCCCCTTATTGATGAATGGTATGTGTTTGCAGGTGAACAGATAACTTGGCTTCTTAATTCACATACACACCTCAATAGGAATAGATGGGTTCACCTATTACCTAGTTCATGCTCTTTCCCCATCTTTTGATCACAAATAGAGGTTTATCTCATTTCCTGTTGCTTCAATTAAAGTCTTCTCATTCACTTTCACTCCCAGTAATTCCTTGCATCTTAGTAGAATTATTACCTTACTTGGGGTAAAATGATTATATATATAAAGAGAGAGTGAGAGGATGTTCTATTAAGATACTTGTTATAAAACTGCAAGAAAATTATATTAACAAGCTTCATTATAAAATATTCTTTTATTTTTTGGAAGAGAAATTTTAAACAAATATATCTAAAATCAATTTTATTTTTATGAGGGAAAATAATTTCCCAAGAAAAATTGGCATTTTTATACAGGTTTCAAATTATTTTTTGTCAGATTTTAAATATAGTCAAATACAAGTTTTCACAATATTACATTGAAGTAAAATAAGTAAACTAATTATGTTGAAATAAGAATGAAAAACTAAAAAGCAGAAAAAATTTTGTAACACAAAATATCAAAAACCCTCTAAACTGAATGGAAAAGTGATGCTTTAATATCCATAGACATTTATTAAAGATATTTTAATCATAAACCAGATCAAACATGAAAATTAGAAACAGTGTATCACATATTGATTTGATTTTAGTAAGCAATCTGTTTTTAAATGAAGTGAACATAAGTTGATACAAAATAAGTAAAATACCTTTCTAAAGGATGCTGGTAATATAGTGACTTAAAAATGATGCTATCATTAAGAATAAAACATTTTTTTTATTCAATCAAAGACATACTATCCTATTTAAATAAAGGGTAAAATCTTACTAGCTCTTATTGAAAAATGAAACTTTCTTCAACCTTCATATAGCCTTAACTAAAAATGTTTTAATCACAATATATTCCATTAAAAAGGTGATTATTTATTTGATCCCATCTTGTCTCCATTTCTGCTGACAACCATTTCACAGGCAAGCAAGCTAGAATTATGTTAGAAAAAAAAATCAATTTCCTTATATAAATCAATTGGTTGTAATTGTTGAATAGAACTGTTAAAGCATGAGCTGCTTACTTCATAATAAATTCAAATAAGATGACATACAGAAAACTTACTATTAGTGTAATGATATTTACATAGAAATAAATAAAATACTCCTTTAAAATTTATTATTTATAGTTGTAATGTTTATACAAAATTATTTTTTTAAACTGATTTATAAAATTCTAAAATATTCTCTTTCATTAATATCTGGATTTTAATCAAAGATACTATACTTTTGATAGTCATTTTCCTCAAAAGGAAAAAAAAAATGAAGATATAAGAGAAATTATCTATTGTGTTGCTATTAAATTTCTACAGTACTGAAGGTTAAGTCATAGAGAAAGAAAATAAGCACAATTTTAAAATCCCCAATTATATTATGCAGCACATGTTTCTAGGCAGCAGCTTCAAGGACAATATACCAACATTGGGATGAGGAATTGATGAGAGGTATTGATTTGGATAATAGTAAGACGAAAGAAGACAACTTAGAAATGTTCACCTACTACAAACAATGTTCCACTATTCTTAAAGTCTACCTTGAAACTAAAATAAATTACTGATATCAATTACTCACTGATAATATCTTACCTGAAGATGCAAATGTTTTAATTAAAAATATTTAATAGCTAATATATATCAAGAAATTTAGCTTGTCCTTTACTCAGAGAAAAAAAAGTGTTATACAACTGAATAATAATTTAAGAAATAAATTAACAAGTAAAAGTAACAAAATTTTGATTGGTAAATTAATGCTCTTCAGATGATGGTATAGAGCTCACTGAAGCAAAAGACAATTTGAGTTAAAAATCCATTTTTTTTAAAATGGATTTTTCTTTAATAATATTTATATTAAAGGAATTTTACAGTATACTTCAAACATAACAAAATTTCAAAATGAAAAGGAAAAACCCAAAGGTTATAAAACAAGGTGGAAAAATTGGGTTTGGAATTTTCTTTATATTTCAAATCTTATTTTAGTGGATACCCATATTTGAGTAGTCAGTCAGTTAAAAATGTGAATTATGTTTTATCATCCTACGCATTTGAGAGACTTAATGAAGAAAGTGAGCAGGATGGTAAACATAATTCACTTTCTTTTTTTAAACAGGATGTCTTCTCAAACATTAAATGTTTGGAATAAGAAATAATGAATTAAAAATAAAATCAATTCTTTAAAAATTATATATGTAAATTAGAATTAAATATGGATTAGAATCCAACAATGATAGGAAATCAGAAATATTTATAAATGTTTCCAATTTGTTTCCTATCCTATTGCGTGTGTGTGTGTGTGTGTGTGTGTGTGTGTGTGTGTGTGTGTGTGTGTGTATTATATATTAAAATAATGAGAAGGAATTTATAATCCTGTGTTATTATTAATTATTAAAAAAAAAAAAAAAAAAGTGCTCAATTTTGCACAGCATAAATATTATAAATTTACTAATTTAAAAATATGGCCTCATTGCTACACAAGAATTACTAGGTTTCAAAAACAAACTAAAAACTAAATTTAATTTTAGAATTAAATTAAAATCCTCAGTACTGTTTCATTTTCAAGCGATTTAAAAAAATTTTTTTTGTAATTCCTGTGTAGTAATGTGACCATATTTTTAAATTAGTAAATTTATAATATATATATATATAACATTATGTCAAAAGAAAGAAAGCAGTATAGCTTCCAGTGCCAAATACTGTTGTGTAGAAGAGAGAATGTCATTCAACACTGCCTCTCGCACTCCCAACATTTTCAAATGGTAGCACCACTGCCAAAGCATGTGATCCATAACATTGTGGGATGATGGAGTGTGAGATTGAAAATTCAACTTCAGCTTTGAGAAGAAAGCTTAGCAATATCTGTTTGAAACTTAGAAAGATTAAAATTTCTGCAGGTCGTTAAAAGGAATAAAAATTACAAATGGAAATGCACTTTTGATATTGTTCCAATTAATTGGATTGAGACAACTTTTCAAGGACAGATTTTGAAAGTGAGTAAGAAAATTTTGGGTGAATAATAAGAGAACCATGAGAAATCATATAGAAAAGATAAATTTACACATTTATCTTTATCATACAAAATGAACAAAGAAACAATTACAAAAAGTAAACATCTTTAAAGTCAGATAATAGTAATTATATAGATTTCAATTTGGGAATATAGATATATCCCAATTATAGTAATATTAATTTAAGATTAAGGCATCAAAATTATTTTAAACTATCTTAAAAGCTGCATTCCATGTGGACTATTAAGCTAATTCCTGTGGAGGCCTTATTAGGAATATCTCATCCAGCTTAGAAAACAGCAATGATAATTTTGAAGACATAACTTTGAATTCCTCAATTCACTCCATGGAACTCCAAAACCTCATTTTAATTCAGGCTATAAGTCCAATTCAAGTCAAAAGACAGATTTAAGCCAAAATTCCCGTTCAAGCTGAAAATTAAGTTCTTCAAATCATGAACTCTGTGAAACTTCAAAACCTCATGTCACAAAACCTTTCACTTTAACTCTGATTCCTTAGTATTTTGAAGAAATAAAATTGATTTAATTCAAAGTTTGAGAGATTTTAAACTAAATTTAAAACAATTTAAGTTCAAAGTTTTTGTGTTACTTTAAATGCAATATAAATTAAAAACTTAAAAATCACTAATTTTTTTCAGTTA